AAGAGAAAGAAAAAACAGAAGAGAAAGGAAGAGAGAAAAAAAGAGAGAGAGAGAGAGAACCAGACACACACATGCAAACACAGAGAACCAGACACACGTACATGGACACACGCAGAACCACATGTGCGCAAACACAGAGACCCAGACACACACACGCAAAAACACAGACAGAACAGACATGTGCACACACATACCCAGAACCAGACACACATGTGCATATGTGCACACACAGGCGCACACAGAAACAGGCAGACATATACACACAACCAGAGAAACACATCCAAGCTGCTGGGCTGCAGGACAAAGACCAATCCAATGATTCCCTGGCCCTGCTGCAGCCCCCGTGCTCCCCAGGGAGCCAGCCTCCAGGGTGCAGTGCAGCCCACTGAGGCCCTGGCCCTCCCATCAGCCAGTTGCCTCCTCCCCAGGAGGTTGTGGGGGGATGCCGCACTGGGCTAAGCAGGCCCCCTGCCCTGGGGCTGCGACCACACTGCAGCAGGAAGGAGGCAGTGCAACAGGCCAGGAGGGGAGGGGAGTGGGGGCAGCACAATCCCAGCCCTATAGTTCCTCTCAAGGTCTCTTTAGGCACCATCTCTTACTGAGTCTCTTGAAAGAGCCTAGAGCAGCAACTGAAAAAAACCCCCATTTTCTCAGCACACCTCCCGGCATGCTGAGGAAAGTGTCTCCATGTGCCACTAATTTGCATGCATGCTGGGGGTTGCCTATCTACCCAGTTGCTTTAAATACTGCTGCCTTCTCTGTTTCAGCTACAGGTTTATGGAATCAAGAGTTCATACTTGAGCTGAAAGCTTAAGCTCTCAGTCCATGTGTGTTGGCAATACTCCACTGAAGTTGGTCCACACCAGCTGAGGGTCCATCCCCCAGAGTCAGATCTCCTGCACGTTTTATAGCACTACACAAATATGCTGTAATATTACCATGAATGCCTTATCTAATTTATTCTTGATATACATTATAATTGTACTTTGATCACATATATCACTTGATAATGCACCTCTGCCCAATTGCTGCTATTGGTTTAAACTTTTCCTTCATTAAGTGACACTCACCAATTGAATTAGCCTTTCTTTCGGAAAGACGTCATTCCATTCTAGCATTATGTCCACTTTCTAATAACCTTTGTTATAGCACCTTAGTGGGTCATGAAACAGGACTCAAGAATAGGATTGCTATGATCAGCCTGGGTTCTGTGCAGAGATCAAATCAGCATTATTTCTTGGATAATTCACTGTAGCTGCAGCCTGCATGACAACAGCTTGAAGATCTAAATTCTCTGTGAGATCATGTCATCTTTTCTACAAAAAAGACTTTTCTTCTGAGTGAAGAGGTAAACCATGGGCCTAATTCAAAGCTCATGAAAGGCAACACAGATTCCTATTGACTGTGGTAGGTTTCTGGCTCATATCTCATATAAGAAACTCTTCTAAAAGTATATATGTTTGTATTCAGCCCATTAATCCCTAATTAAAAGTAAAAGCCTTAATATTTCTCTCCACTCTAAATGGCACAGAGTGAGCTTAAAAGTGCATAACCTGGTCAAAACATTAAGCTAATTAAAATGAAGAATAGTGGTTTTAAGCATGCTAATTTATTGTCTTAATTGCGATGGGAGCACATTAACTTAGCTCCTAGGTTGATATGAGATCACTTTTTGTTTTTCTTTCACCATTTTCTTTCCTGGTGAAGTTCAGCTCTAATATTCTACTCAGAGAGAGTAGGCACTTGTATAAAACCATTTACCCACATTATATTAATGTTGTCAAGTCATAGAATTCCTACCTGGCTAGCTTGCATAAACTACCTTTTTTATCATCAAACAGTAGAGACACCAG